GAGACAACTGTTGTGGATACTTTCATTTCGTGTGAAAGCACATGAAGCAGATTCGGAGACGGAACTGACGAGAAAAGGACGGCTGAATCACGTCGTACTGCAGCCGTTTGGCTTTAATACGACGTTGCGGCTGCGCAGTCCACGAGACATTCTACGCCTCGCTTCGTCCGAAAACGGCGAGCTCCTATCGATCTTGCGATGGACACTACTTTGGTAGGTCTCAAATTAAAATAGGGTAAACAACTGGCAAGCGTTTAGAAGTGGCGCTAGTGGAACTTTTGCAAGGACGAGTCGCAGCTCCGCCCGTTTTCGCCCCAGACGAGGGAGGGCCCAAAGGTCGCATTAAAGCCAAACGGATAAAGTACAAAGGACACCGGCTGGTGATCACTTTGCGGTGAGATCGACCTGCGAATCACTTCTTCATGCAATTTAACACGAAATGAGTCTGCCAGAAGATTCCTGCGAAGCCAGTTGCTCGTCGCATCTACTGTAGAATTGTATGCTGGGAGTGAGTGGTGCTTCGCCGTACCACTCACGAGGCCATAAGGTTGCCGAGGCAAGCAGTAGAACTGGCGCGAAGGGGGGAGAAGAGGGGAAAGAAGGGGCATTCGAAATAGGAGACTGGGGGATTGGGGCATTGTTGTTTTGCTAATCATCACTTGGCAAGAGGAGCTTGGCTGCGACAAAGGTAGAGGGCCGGATGCAGGAAAAAGCGGAATTAAACCGAGGCACGCAGGGAGCAAGGCAAAAATGTGGCAACACGAGTCGAAGTCACGGGAAGCAGACGGCAGCTCAGCTCTGATTGGTGGGACTCCAGTAGTGTCGAGCCGCTATTGGATCCAACGGTTGACCAATCGTCTTGTGAGTCAGGCTAGCCATTCCTTGGCCCAATCAGAACAGGGCAAGAATCCACCAATCAGCCTTCCGACTTTCCTCATCAGTGGGCCTATCTTTGCAGCGTTGGCTGGTTCCACGCCATCTCGGCCTACATACAGGCATAGGCGCATGAGTGCACACACGCATAGGCATAGTCTGTACCTGTCTGTCTGTTTGTCTGGCTGGCTGGCTGACTGGCTAGTTCATAAAGGGACCGATGCAGAGACACAAACAGGGACAGGTCGATTGTCTCGCCTCCTCCGATGAGTGGGCACCAAGCCGGACTGATCGATTGTCGCTTCAGCTCTCGAGCATGCCTCGCCTGCTTCCTTCTCCGATAGCCCCAAACGATGCTCTCTTCTCAGGA